ATTATCCTGGCTGCTCAGTCAATAAATTCCAAATGTTTCCTTATAAGGAAACAGCTAATATTATCATTACCATTACACTACCTGAAATAAAAAAGAATCTATTAAAAAAACAGTGTCACACTGAGAAATGACATGCAAAGAGTAAAAATGTCAAAATGCTTTGAGAAAATAATCAGTTCACTGGAGATGAGAAAAGCAATCTATTCTTTTTCAATATTTCAGGTTGTTTCAATCTACCCACTCCACTCCTCGGCTTCAACCTCAGATAAAAGCTTGTGGCTGGTGGATGTTTTTATAAGCCCTTTTCTATAACCAAGTAATGTGTTGAAGTAAATGCATTTATGTTGGTCCCAGAAATGACTGTTATCAATTTTCAAGTTTTAACCCAGTGTTAGGTTTGCAATCTAGTTGCCTCTATTCAATGAATTGCACATTGATTCCTGATTGAAAAAAAAAAAATAGATGCTATCTCCATCTCTGAGAGATTGTGTAACTTCCATGACTTGAGAATTTTAATCATCCCAGATTCAATCATTGCTAACTAAGGCTAGAGAGCCCAGTCTACCCTGCTATTTAACTCATAGCAAGGCAGAAAAGAGATGGATTCATACCTTTTCCAAAAAGTATACCTAATTGAAAAAAAAGTAGACACTATCTCCAACTGTAGCAGGTTGTGCAACTCAGATGACACTTAAGAGTTTCCTTCATGTCAGAATGGTTGCTCAATGATCACCAGCCTCGCTTTTCCGACCTGGTGGTCTATTCTGCTTTGTCTACCCACGCTGTGTTTAACTTATAGTTGGGGGCAAAACACAAATAAAAGAGAAAATAAATCAATACAAAAAGATTGCTTCACAAGGATATTTGTACAAAAGTGAATATAATAAAGTTAGCTGGAACTACTATTATACCATCCACACATCCTGTTTGATTTCAGGTTAAAATTTAAATATTGCTTTAAAATTTAAATAAATTTAAAATTTAAATATTGCTTTACAGGATCATTTTCAACAAGTCTTAAATTTTTATAATGAATTTTTATTGATTTTTACAATTTTTTTTTTTTTTTGGTTAATAACATTTTATGAATTTTTTCCCTAGATAAATCGAACTTGGTTATTGATGACCATTCGATTCAAAATCTAGGATATGGATCTATGTTTTCCAAAATTTTTTCCGACTGTCCATGTCCCTTTTTTTACCTTGTTTTCCTGATAGTCGAAAAATCTTAATTATCTACTTTGAAAATGTCTCCACTTTATTAACGTGGGTGTCCACAACCCCACCGGTCAAACCCAAAGACACTTTTTCTCTGATTAAATTGTTTCATTGTTCCCAAAATTTCTTATCCAAATACATTCTTGCCAGAATCTTTTAATCAATTATTTATAAATTCTTCCAATTGTCTTTTCGAAAATTCACCCTCAATTGAAATAAACTTGCCATTACCAGTGGTTATTTTCAACTCAGATTTTAATTTTCTAATAATAATCAACTATTATACCATCCACAATCCTTTTGATTTCAGGTTAAAATTTAAATATTGCAATAATTTTCAACAAGTTTTTTTAAAAAAATTTTTTGATTTTTTTTTTTTTTTTTTTTTTTTGGTTAATAACATTTTTGATTTTTTCCCTAGATAAGAGCAGAACATTTTTCCAAAAATCCCCAGAAAATATCTGGTAAATCTTTAATCAATATTATAAAATAAAATTCAGAAATAAGTTGCCATTACCAGTGGTGATTTTAATTTCTGATTAATCAACTCTAACCTTTACACAATGTTCTTTTTAAAAAAAACATTTTTGATTCTAACAGAACATTTCCATCCCAAGAAAATATCTGAATAATCATGACTGACGAGGCGATCATTTTTTTCGATACATGACTGACGAGGCAGATTTTTTCCATTTTGCTTTTTTTCTATTGTAGACCAGTTGTTATCCAAGGCTATAGAACCCAGTCTGTCCTGCTATTTACCCATGGCTGGGGGAAGAAGAGAATTCATACCTTTCCCAAGGGTATTAGCACATAAGTGAATATAATGGATTCAAATGGAATTTGAACTCGGCTCATCCAATTCCTCAATCCCAGCTGCTATCCATTACACCATGAAAATATCTGTTAATAATACTAGAAAATATCCCAAGAAAATATCTGTTAATAATACTAGTTAATAATTTTTATAAATTATTTCAGTTGTTAGATAATAGATTTTTCATTATTTTCTTTGTTTTAAAACACATTGGATCTAAAGAATAATGCTTATTGATGGTCTTATGAATTATAAAAACACATTGGCTTATTTTGGTTGTTATACTCACAGTGTTTCAGCCTTTGTAGTCTATAGCCTTCTTCAGATGTCTGGTCTAATATTAATTAGTATTCGTGGAAGTTTGAACTGAACCCTTTATTCAATCCAAAGTGGTAGATTCTTCTTGTTCTGCTTCCCTTACTTTGAGGATATTTCATAATCAATATTCACCAGTCTTATTCATGTTATGTCACTTTTCTATTTCTTCTGAACAAAAGTATACAATGTTGAACAGATAGAACTCTCAATTGACAGTAAATACATTATTTCATAAAATGTTGGTTAAAACATAACAGGTTCCCTGGCTATTATGTCTTCACTCTCTGGATCTGGTAGTGCTGAAAATCACATACTCAGATTCAAGAGAAACAAACGAGCGACTCCAAGGTGAATAAAACTGCTGAGTAATTAACAAATATGAAATATATCCTAAACATGTAAAGCAGTAAATATATATTACTTACATTTTCATTAATAAAAGTAAGATTTTTTTTCTCAAATTAGCATTCACAACAAAAGATGAAGATGCTCATTTTTAAAACAAAAAACAAAAAAAAAACAAATTCCTGAAAACATGTCTTTCAGCCTTTAATTAAAAACAAAAGCCACTGAAATAACACAAAAAGAACTGCCCTTGACACACTTACTTCCAAATGTATTCAAGTAACCTGCATTCAGGAAGTTGAGATATTGTTTAAAAAGGAAAAAAACAAAATTAATGCTAAGCATTTCATTTGTCATTCATGATGGAGCCATACAAGATAACCACTTTCTCCAGAAGAGAGAAATAATCTTTCAAAAAAAATGGAAAACAATCATTTGTTTCGTCTCTCATAATTCTGATTTGTGAAACGCTCCTCTGATTTCTTTCTTTTTTTTCCTGTTAACTAAGATCTCCAAAATTTTAATGTCAGTCTTCCTCTTCTGTCTTTTTGAATCCTGTTCTTTTTATTGTCCTTTCTCCTCAGTAAGAATTTCCTTTTACTCTAATGTTTTTCATCTTCAGTAACACCTTGTATCTTAGTGGCATTATCACCTTTCTTGTGGTTGAAATGATTAAAACGAAATAGCAGGCAACAAACTGTCTTTCATAAATGAGGTTTGTTCTGTTCATTGAAATCAAGCAAGAAACAGATTTTTTTGAGAATATTTCCAATGGGTTATAGAGATATTTCACTATGACACTGCATATAAATGGCTTCCATAATAGCAGAATGTCTCTTCAGTTAGTTTTAAATATTCACTTGCTGTAAAGAATCTCTGACAATTTTTTTTTCTTTATATTCCTTATTTGGATGATGATATTTGGCAATATTTAAATTTTATTTTTTTTTTTAATATTAGTATGAATAAAATATGAAAAATATTTTGAAGAAGGGAGATGATTCTGTTATTAGTATTAATCCTTTGGCAAATTCTAACAAATGTAGATGCAAAAAAAAAAAAAAAAAATAATGATGTGTCAAAAGATTGAATTTTCTCTTGACACCACTATTATTTTATTCTCAATCAGCAATTTTCATCATTTTAAAGTTATTTTTTTTAGAGTTTTCCAATCTTGTTTGTATTTTTTCATACTATTCAGTTATTGCTATTGCTGTTCAAAATGAATCTGAGTCTGTATTACCCAGCCCTTGAATACAAAATTACTTTTTTATTACTGCTCAGTTATTGCCACTCCTGTTTCCACTGAATCTGAGTCTGTATTACCTAGCCCAGTCATTGAATACAAAATTATTTATTACTGCTCAGTCCTGTTTCCACTGAATCTGAGTCTGTATTACCCAGCCCAGTCACTGAATACAAGATTACTTTTTTATTACTGCTCAGTTATTGCCAGTCCTATTTCCACTGAATCTGAGTCTGTATTACCCAGCCCAGTCATTGAATACAAAATTACTTATTACTGCTCAGTCCTGTTTCCACTGAATCTGAGTCTGTATTACCCAGCCCAGTCACTGAATACAAGATTACTTTTTTATTACTGCTCAGTTATTGCCAGTCCTGTTTCCACTGAATCTGAGTCTGTATTACCCAGCCCAGTCATTGAATACAAGATTACTTTTTTATTACTGCTCAGTCCTTGTTTCCTATTTCCACTGAATCTGAGTCTGTATTACCCAGCCCAGTCATTGAATACAAAATTATTTTTTATTACTGCTCAGCTCCAGTCCTGTTTCCACTGAATCTGAGTCTGTATTACCCAGCCCAGTCATTGAATACAAAATTACTTTTTACTACTGCTCAGTTATTGCCAGTCCTGTTTCCACTGAATCTGAGTCTGTATTACCCAGCCCAGTCATTGAATACAAAATTACTTATTACTGCTCAGTCCTGTTTCCACTGAATCTGAGTCTGTAATACATATTGAAGGCAAGATAAACAAGGGGGTAATGAATAACCTACTTAACAAGTTTATATGAATGAATGACAGAAAAGAGACAAAGAAGGATAAAGAGTCAAAAACATGAAGAAGAAACAATCACGACAGGGAAACTTACAACCATCTCAATAACCAAGAAAGTTTTACATATATTAGAAAACAATATTTCCTATTCCCTTCCCCCACCCCACTCTGTCACATCCATAATTATAATAAATATAAGTTCAATTTTCTCATTTTCTAAAACCAAATGATGAATTTTGTTCTCTATTTCCATTTTTTTTTTCTTCGATTTCTTTGCAGGTGGTGCGTAAATGGGAGCTCTTATTGGTTTTATTTTGTCTGCTGGTGATTGACATCATTGTCTTGGTAGCATGGCAGGTCTTAGACCCCTTATATCGACATCTAGAGACATTCCCACCTGAAGAACCAAAACATACAACAGAAGACATAATGTTGGAGCCATATTTAGAACACTGTAGCTCCAAGAACATCAACATATGGTTGGGTAGGTCTCTACATAATTTCTGGTTTTGTCTAAACTCAGTTACTCCCAAAATTAAATATTTTGAACTGATGTCATATTCAAAATTCCATTTTCAAATGAAACATGTAAAAAAAATTCACACAAAAAATTGTAAATTTCACTGTAATCTTGAGGTTAAAAATTAATTTTATATTTTGATCTTACTTTGCAAATTTTGTCCAGATAAAATTTTGAACTTTATAAATGATGAAAAAAAAAAAAACTTAATGCAACTAATATTTACTTTTCAATATAATCTCCTTTGTCAATGCACTTTAAGAAATGGCAATTGTTAAATCCCTCAAGTCTTGACCAAATTGCTGAGAAATCTGAATATGTGATACTACTGCAATTAAATTGCTATATCTCAAAAGCCATTGACAATCAACTATTACTAGATGATGTTATATGAAAGTAAATCTCTCTTTCAAATGATACCAAATTTAGTAGATAGGTTCACCTATCATCCAGCTCACATTGTTGCCCAGTCATTTGAACAGGAGTAGAGGTTTATCCCTTGTTTCTGGTTCCTTCTAAAGTCTACTTCAACTCTATACTCCTAACATCTCCACCTGAACTCTAAAATTTTATTCACTAATTAAATATTGACCTCTTGAAGGCTAATGTTAAGTTAGCTGTTGTCTTTCCCACATAGCCCCAAGACTTTCACTTCACGTCCTTTCTCACGCTAATACAACTCGACACAATAACATTCTACCTTGAATGGCTCTTGGGCCTTGTATTGGATGAATATTAGTAAAAAAAAAAAAAAAAGCCTCATTGGGAATTACTGGTTATGAGATATGACTTTGGAAATCCATGACTTACAAAGTTGTAAATTTTTAAAAAAAGTAGATTTCTAGTGCTTTTAGTTGATCATGTGATGGGTGTTAATGCTGTGGATTGAAATACAGTGCTACCCAATTGCAGGCATACTCAGGCACTCTCAGATTAGAAGCATGTGAAACATGTGAGTGTATTTGGGCATTTCCAGTCTTAAAGATTTAATCATATCTAGCAGATATTATTTCAGATCAAAATCCATCTCATAACTACATGTTAGCATTGTTAAGTTGTCAAATAGCACAGATGTATATTTACTACCCAAAACAATTATTGAACTGAAAAGATACAACTAGCTTGACATAAAGAGATAAGATACTCTGGAGAAAAATTTTCAACTGCTGAAAAGGTATATTTTTTTTGAGGGATAATAAATAGCATGGACCTATTGTTCTGCTCTCACTGATAATCGTTATTACCTTTTCTTTCCACAGGTATCATGTTTGGTTACAAAGGAGTCCTGCTTATATTTGGTTTATTCTTAGCCTATGAAACTCGAAGTGTCAAATTGAAACAAGTTAACGACTCTCGATTTGTCGGCATGAGTATATACAATGTGTCGGTGAGTTTTTAAAATTCCAGCAAATTTTTCCAGTCTTGCTGATGTTCATTTAAAGTCCATTTAACAATTTCTTTGTGCCAATGTAATAAATTAAGCTGCATATTTTGTGAGCCAATGTAAGGGGTTTCTTCTGCCCATGTAAACTCTCTCTTGACCCAGCTTTGTCATTTACAACTCTTGCTAAATTTGTTTATATTTCCGATCACAACTGATCATTCAGTTATCACTTTCATCATAGAATTAAAGGGAAAAAAGAAAATTACTTCAATTACTATTTGAAGATCTTATTCAAGGTACAAAATTTAATCAAAGCAATAAAAAAATTGACATGATTAAACGAGGCAAAAAGAGGAAACAATGACTACGATAGTTGGCAATATGCAATTAGAAGAAAGCAAAAAAAAAAAAAGATAAAAACAAAAATCATGCAGAGTTAACCGGTTATTGCTCCTCACTCTTCAGAATTCGATCAAGTAAAATTTTTGTACACACTGACTAAAAAAAAAAGGAAACCTGAAGAAGAAAATACACACATATCAATAATATATGGCATCAGTTTAAACGAACACCAAGAGGATCTAGATTTATAGTTGTTTACTTCCTTGTTATCTATTGATAAAACTATCACACATTATATGCATGCAGAGTCACCTTCTGGCTTCCAATTTAATAATCTCTTTTACCAGCTGTACATTGTATCTATACAAATAAAATGAAATATCTGCCTACTATAAACTCAGAAGCTACTGAATGGATTTTGACCAAACTTGATATGCAGATAGGGAGACTCAAAGCCAATGTAAAGTTAAAAAAATATGGCTAAAAACAATAAAATAAAATTTCTCATGGAAGTTAAATATTTATTCCTACATAATATAGTAGTAGTAAGGGAGGTAAATCAATTTTAGGTTGTAAGTTAATGTAAATAATGTAAGGAAGTAATCATGCATTATTTGGACTGTTATCCTCATCTTCATTGCCATATTCACAACATTTCAGCTGTTGTATGCTCCGATCTTCTTCAGGTGATTGGAATTTTGAACTGAACCCTTTATTTCATCAACTGGGGTAGACTGTTCTAGTTCCACATGCCATGCTTCTTCTGGATATCTCGGTTATTTCCCTTTAACTCAACTCTCCAAGATTTGGTTCACCACTGCTGTGGCCTGGTATTAAACTCACAACTCTTTGGGTATAGTCACTGGATCTAACCAATATCTTTATCTACTGGACTGTGATTACTTCCCTTAGTCATTTTAATAATAATCTATACAAATGAAATGAAGTGTCTGCCTACCTGCCTGCCTTTTTATTAAGATAAAATTAGTTCCTAAGTCATGCCAGGTATCTATACTAGTATAATATTAAAAAAGATATAATCCTTTTCTCTTCATAATTGATAACTGCATACAAATACAAATTGAAATAAAGGTCACAATCAATAATACAGTTATCAATGACATAAGCATTTTCAAACTTGACATTTGTAGATAAAAACAAAGTACAAATAACTCTAAAGAAGTCAGGAATCAATTTGACACTGTATTTATATTATGAACAATACACCACTTCTAAAATAATTTTTTAAAATTGAGTATTTTTCAATTCTGACAAATGCTATTTCTTGAGAATTATCTATTGAATGTTAAAACTAAACTAAAATTGTTAAAAAATAAATACATTCTTCCATATATTTTTTTTATGAGTGGACCGCTTAATTTAACTAGTCCACATTTAATACTTTGTCAGTCAGCTGTTTCATTTCATTATTAATCAATGTTTATTACTTAATCTTGCTATATATTACAACTTTCTTTCTTTTTCCACCAGGTGTTATGTGTAATCACAGCGCCAATTACTCTTATTATTAACAGTCAGCAAGATGCAACGTTTGCTTTTGTCTCCCTCGCCATAGTCATGTGTAGTTTTCTCTCAATGGGACTTATTTTTGGACCAAAAGTAAGTTTCTGATATTTTTTTTCTTATTCATTTGCTATTATCTTCCAATTTTTATTATTATTAAGAAATCAAGGTCATTAATTAGCACATTATTAATCTTGAAGTTAAGATATTACCTTTAGCAGGACTCAAATTTGAGTCTGAGAAGTTCAAACTCAGATTTAATAAATATTTCAGCTTATATACAGATTTGTTTTGCAGGCATTGTTTTGCTAAGTATTCTGATAGTTTTCATACAGTGATGAAGTAAAATGTTTCTACATATTTTACAATTTGACCAACCAAATAAAGTACAAATGTAAACAAACCACAAATTCATTTCATTTTTTTAAAGTTTCATCATTTTTTTTTTTAAATAAATACCCTGGATAAGTATAGTATACATGTTTTTCTAAACTTTCAACTGTATTTTTTAATTTAAACTTATGAACCAGAACAGATTTCATAAGGACAAAATAACACTATAAATCAACAGATATCCTATATCAGACAAAAAAAATAATGGACACCTGAAGATGGTCAGATGATACTTGTCTCTATAATAATAATAACTATAATAATCAAGGGGCAAAAAACTAGTTAAAATAAATTAAAAGTATGAACTTAGTGAGTTTATTGATAACATTTGAAAGTCTGAAATTTAGATGTGAATCAAAATTATAAAAATTAATCTACATCACACATTAGTGATGTAGACGAACATATTTTGTCACCAATATATGAAAATTTGACTAATTATAAAATAAATGTAAATAACATTTATAAAATGTAATAATGTTTTTTTTATTTGTATTATTGAAAAAAAAATCTCATAGTAGGAATGATTCCATATAGGAAAGTGTTAACAGATTTTACAGAAATTTATAGTTAGTAATGGTTTCCTTTAGAATAATTAAATTTAAAAAAAGCAGTCATCACAATTGATTTTCAATGACTTATTAAATATTATGATTCTGATGAAGTGTTTATTAACAAAGGGAGATAATTTTTCATAATGCATAAAAAAAAATGCATTTTTGACAACCCAAAATCAATATGTGGTTATGTGTAACCAATATTTTTTTTTTTACTATTTTATTAAAAAAATTTGATGGTATCAATGCAAGTTTTTTTTTAGTGCTAATTTTTTTTTTGGAGAAACTGACCAATTTTTTTTTCCTCACATTAGAAGCCAAATAACTAACTAGTGGTGACAGTTACTTTTCCAAATTTTCCAAATTATATTTATAATATATGCTATTTTCTGACCATTAAATTCTTCATGACAAATAAAGAAGCATTATTATCTGCTATAAATGTGATTTACATTTATTTTATAATTACAGTCACATCACAATATATTGGTGATAAAAGGAAATCTGCAAATATTACTAATATCCTTTTTATCTCTACCCACAATTACCTAGATCTTCCTTGTGCTTTGTTTTTATACCTACTATAGATTTATAATCCATTCAAGTAAGAATTAAGAGAAGCCAAGTGCCATATGCATTTTCCCAAAATGTCACTGGAAACAATGGATATTGCTTTATATAGAAATATAGACAGAGTATCTCCAACATTCGGCGATGTAGCTTAAAATGCAAATATAACTATCAACAGTATCTGAAGACATGGTGTGAACTGAAATGCCATGTCACTAATATATGATGACATGACAGTCAGTGTGTTAACAAATGCCTCAAAATTGATAAACTAAATAACAAAAAAAAAAAATGGTGGAGTAATGGATAGCAGCTCGGATTGAGAAATCAGAGAGCCAAGTTCGAATTCCAGTCGAATCCATTACATTCACTTATGTGCTAATACCCTTGGGAAAGGTATGAATCCTCTTCTTCTCCCCCCAGCTATGGGTAGATAGCAGGACAGACTGGGTTCTATAGCCTTGGATGGCAACTGGTCTATTACAGAAAGAAATGGCAACCTACTGCAGGAAAAAAATCTGCCTTGTCAGTATTGTATCAAAAGATACATGATCGCCTAAGCATATATCACGCATGGCACATAACTGTTTTTAAAATTGTTTCCATTTCTACAAATGAACATCATTTTCTCATTAACTGAGTGTTGCATTCATTATAAAGCTTCATTATTTGAAATTAATGTAACATTTTTTAAACCAATATCTAAAGGGTAATTAATGTTTAACCTTCGTACCAAAAAAAAAAAAAAAAAAAAAAAAAGGGGCATCAAAAGGACGTCTTTTCCCTTGACACCACTTATTTTGTACTAGCTTCACTCCCTCAGCAATGTCTATTTACAAGATTATAAAAATATGTGAACCAAGTACAATGTGATATTTATTATTTACAATTTTATAAATAACAATGAAAAAATGATTTTTGTTCATAATTTTATAAAACTATTGATGAACTATAAAACAAGAAAATTTGAATAAACATGATATTCTCGTCATAATACATTTCTTCTCAGATTATTTTACATCTCAAATTACTTTGTTTTAATTTTCCAATTTTTTTTTTATAATTGTGATATGGAAGTTCAAGGCCTGATACTCTTACAATTATAGGTTACCCCCCCTTACCTACACATTTAAAAAAAAAAAAAAAAATTTTTTAAAAGTTTCAGTTTTTAAAAAACGCCTAGAAAATCTGCCACCAGATTATGAAAAAATCTTAAATGAAGAATGCAGACTAAGCAACTTAGCAAACCAATTGGTGAATTGTGTTCTTTGACTAATTGCCAATTAATTCTTATTTAAATTTATTTCTTTATAAATGATAAACATTAGTTGTATTAGTTGGTTTGTATTCTCTGAATGTTGTAAATATAAAATTATTCTTGTAAATAAACATTCAAATAAATAGTGTTTAATATTTTTGTTGTAATTTCTCAAAGAACAAAGAAAATGTATAAATCCACTTACATATGTTTCAGTTTTATTAAAATTCTAATTATTGCTTTTTAAAACAACAAACATTGCCAAGGGAATGAAGGCAGTTAAAATAATGGCCGTGTAAGGGGGGAAAAAAAAAAATCTTTCTTTTGCAGTCACGAAGGTTAAACTTTATCAGTGATTCAATCCAAGTAATTCTTTTTTCTTAATTATTCCTCTTATTTTCTGTTTTGAGAAATCACCATTATTATCATATGATACTAATGTCCTCATCTTTGCTTTTATCATTACAATTATAGCAATAAAGATGCAGACATTAATCAGTAAATAGTGTAAATATTCCTCTTATTTTCATCAAGCAATTTTCTATGCTATCAAGTTACAAATGGTTGCAGATCAGCTTATATCTGAATAAATATGTAATTGTTATGACTATTCTAGATTGTCGATGTTCTGCACAACCCTCACCAAGAAGGAATGGAAATCCGGGCATTAACAGATTCACTGGCAAGTCGAGAAGAAGAAGAACGATATCAACGCCTTCTGGCTGAAAATGAAGAAATAAAAAAGACGATAGCCCAGGTAAGAAAAATTGGGTGGAGCTAGCTAATTTCCTTAATCATTGTATAAAATTGACTATCAAATCCCAGGTAGACTTCTTTTTTTTTTTTTTTCACTCCATTGCTCCAGTAGTATGGATGTACAGGTAGCATAAAGGTTAGAGGCTCAGAATGTGCAATTGGCAAGTTTGAATTCCTGTCAAAATTGTTAGATTCACTTTTGTACAAATACCCTTGGTAACGGTATGAATCCATCTTTGCTCCCCCCCCACTCAGCTAACAATAGCAGCTGAGACTGAACTCTCTAGCCATGGTTGGCAACTAGTATAGGATGACAACTCTGATTTCAAAACAATATGTTAAGAAGAGGATAGATAGGTTTGCCTATTGGCCAGTTCACACTCCTTTCCCATTTTTTTTTTAATAGTAAAGGTTTATCCCTTATTTCCTATTTAGGATTGGAGTTTTCTCATTTTCTTTCCCCTTCTGTAATCCCTTGTATCTTAGTGGAATTATTGCCTTGCTTGGAGTAAAATTATAAAAAATTTAGAAAGTCCCTGTTAGGGAACATATATGAACTGTATATATAGTCCAGTAGGCATAGTTGCAGTATAAATTACAGGTTGGCTCTGTGGGTGCTGAAACAATGTAAATGAGCCTGAGTAGACGGGCATTCTTGGTCTTAGAAATGAGCATCCATGCTGAAAATGAGAGATCACACTGATTTACAGTGTACCTTCACAGTTCTGATTATGATGCTACAGCAGATAGTTTTACCAAGCATCAAATAACATAATAAAAGTTCATCAACCAAGGCAAATCTAAAAATCATTTCTCTAAGATTATTTTTAAAAAAAAAAATAAACTAATATCTGTGTACAGTTCTGAGAGGAGGTATTGTAATTATTTACATCATTCAGACTGTGAACATGACAATAAAGATGAGGACAACAATGTTTTGGCTGTTGTATGCTCCGGCCTGGAATTTGAAATTCCAATCACCTGAAGAAGGCCAAAGCATACAACAGCCAAAACATCATAAACATAACAATAAAGATGAGGACAACAGTCCAAATGATGTAAATAAAACTAATAATAATTTTAAATTATTTTTTATATTGGTTAGTCAGTGACATTGCATAACAAAATTTGTAATAATCCCTTAGTGCTTTTTTTTTTTTTTTTTAAATTCTTTCTCTATTCAAATATGTCATATTCTACAATAAAACCTGTGATTTCTCTGAAAAAGAAAAAAATACAAAATATTGTTGTCAGATAAATTTGTTCATTATTTTTTTTTTTATATTTATTTTAATCCTGCTTATAATTTGAACAAATCAGTCTACAATATAAAATGATAAAAAAAAAAAAGTTATAGAGGATGACTAGAACTGCAAAAAAATAAATAAAACAATGGTAAAAATATTTTACATGTTAATTCAAATAGCATTAGAAAAAAATTAATGAATTTATCTGACAACCCAATACAAAATGGAGTATGGCAAAACTGTGGTTAAAATGTTATGCACAAATAAGCAAAATGGGAAGATCAGAAAAAAGTATAGATATACGTAAATATTGAGTTGTCAGATAAATTTGGTCGTTTTTTTCCATTTAATTTAATCCTATTATTCATCAACAATTTTAACAAATCCATCAATAATATAAAACGATAAACAAAAGTTGTAGGGGAAACATAGAGCTACAGAAATCATGAAAAACATTACAACAAAAATATTTTACATATTAATTCAAATAAAATTTTAAAAAATGAGCAAATTTATCTGATAACCCAATAATATCTAAATTAGTATATATATATATTTTTTTTTTCCTGTTTTTCAATTGCAGAAAGAAGACAGACTGAAAGAACTTAATGATAAGCTGAAAAAGGCTCAACAGCAAATGTTGGCCATGAAAAAAGAGAACAATATAGCCCTGCAGATGGGAGACGGAACCCTGGGTAATTTCAGTAACAGACAACTCCCAGCAACTACTTGTAACAACAGTAACCAGATACCCCAAGCTACATCAACAATCCTTAAGAGCCCACCATCTCCACCAAAGTCAGAAATGCCTCTCGGAACAATCCAGAACGGACAAAAGGGTGGCCAGATAATTGTAGATTTGAATTCAGATTCTGGACTTGCCAGTGGACCCAAAAGTTGTCTCACGTCAACTTCAGATTTGGACCCATTCTGTTGACACAATTTCTTTGGGTCCCAGTTAACTGCAAAATAGAATCTGGAATTCAAAAAAAGAATGTATACATCAAGAAAGAAAAAAAATCCAAATATATATATATACACACACATACATACATACATACATACATACATCATATAAAACATTTACTAAATTATAATTATCCATTAAAAAGAAAATATTGAATGTACACCTATCTAAGGGAAAAGTTTGTTCAGTTAGTTTTGGAGAAATGATTGTGCTAAAGACAGGAATTTAAAATTACTAAAACTTCATAAGGATATGATAATTCAAGTATACAAAATAAATGTCTTAGGTAATGCAAATAAACTACATCAAAAGTAAATATTTTTCAAGGGAGATAACTATGCGTCGAAATTTCATTTTCTATAAATAAAACGTTGATAACATTCTGAATATTTTTAAAGTTTTCATTTCTAGTTAAATATCTAAGTATATGTATATATTTAAGTCCAAATTAATGAGAACAAAATGAAAATGCCCACGTTTTTGGCCACTCCCAAATTTATTAACAGAAAAAAAAATTATAAGGTTCTTTAAGAAGATGAATTCTATTCCGAGACTGAAAAGCTGCTGTCATTTCTCTTACATATCTAACACCCGACTAATTTTTTTGTTGTTGTTGTTTTTGTTAATGCAGTGTGGAAAATAATTAAACTATTAAGGTGACTTAAGAATTTAACAGCTTCTTTTTAATTGAACTTTTAATTTGGGTTCATGTTTAATTGTTACTATATTAGAAAAAGGCATTTTCCATAGAAATCTGGATTAATTTGTAGTCTTTTTTTTTCCCAGTATAATATATCAAATAATCACTTTAAAAAAAAAAAAAAAATATATCAATACTTTACAAAAATAGCACATCCTAAAAGCATTTGGAAAATTTGTAAAAACTTTACAATTAATTTAAAAATTGGTGAGTTTATTTTTTACTATATTTAAAATTAGAATTTTAAAATATTAAAAAAAATAAAATAAAAAAAAATAGCCTTTTACAATAATCTAACATTTGAACATTGACCTATTTTTTCAATTTCTTGTGGACATTTTCATCTGTACCAGATGCGCTCCAATTCTTTGTTAATCTGATAGAAATGTTTTAATTGTTAAAAAATTAGAAATATTTTTTTTATTTTAATGTTTCAAATGCTTACACATGGGGGACTGAGTAAAAGATAAATGAATTATTTTCTGTAAATGTTTAAAATCACACACACAAACACATGCATGCATACACCTTTAAAAAAAAAAAAAATAAAACATTTATTGTGAACTCAATGGCATGGTTCATCTGATACTAATTCATATGTTTTGAACACGGGCGTTTTACCATAACACACCTGATATACAAATATAAAATGGAATTCCATTTAAGAATGCCAGGTGGTGTTATCATGTCTGTTCTTTTAGAACAGTTTATCTCAAGTTAAAAAAAAAAAAAAAAAAAACTTTTGAGATAAGAAGATACTTACATCCTCGTACAAGTAATATGGCTGCCTCCTCATATTTGGATCTATGAGTAACCAGTTACACCATCAGCTAGACTTGACCCATTCCATGCCCACCTAAGTCAATCAAACTATTTATATACTTGTAAAAATCAACCATACCATTGTTTGTTTGTTTATATATATATATATATATATATATATATATAGTGTATTTGGGCAGCAGTCCCTCTTTTATATACAAGTTTCATTAAAGATGACTGACAAGGTACTGTGATTAAGTTTTCTATTTAATTTTTCCTGTGTTCATATAAGAAAAGAAAAAATTTATACAAACACAAGAAAAATTTTAAGAAAAAGCTTAACTGCAGTACTTTCTCAGTCATCTTTAATTAAACTTGTATAAGATTTGTCCAGGAAGGCTGTGGCCAAGTTGATATCACTAAAGAAAAAAAAATCTACCATTTGTTATTGTTAATTACTGTAATTATTATGAACCTTATTGATGACAGCGCTTCATTAGACAACAGGTTATTTGGTTACTTTTCTCTCTCTAGCTGTAATAGAAAGTCAAGGTGATTTTGTATAAAAAGAACAAATATTGTTGTGATACTGTTTTAAAAATACTCTTTCATGCAAAGATAATAAATACCAAAAAAAAAATAAAAATAAAAAAATAAAACTGTATGAAATCAGATATTTTCCATGTTAAAAAAAAAAAAAACACTATTTATGAAAAGGTGTATTTAGTTAGTTTTAAGTAAAATAAAATATATAGACTGATCAGTTTTTAACTAGCTAAAATTCTCATTATTGATATTTTAAAATAAAAGCCTGGAAGTATAGCATTGTAATTTTTAACTGACCTAATATTTTCAGTACCAGTTTATATCATCCTGACCTTAGTAAAATTCATGTACAAAAAATTAATTTTAAAAAAAGATAATAATAATATGATTAATTTGGAGTGACACTGATAAAATAAAAATCCTTTAAAATTAATAATTTAATGCTAATTATAGCATAATACTTTTAAGAATATTAACAGTACTTTTAATTATACTAAGAAGCAATTGTATATTGCAATTATTACTAATTATTAAAGATATCAATAACTGATCATAGATTATTTTAAAATGTACTACAGCTGATAAAAATGATCAAATACAAAATTTTTAAGCATTAATTCACAACTATTTTTTAAAATACATACAGATCATACATTTAATTGGAAAAAAGAAAAATTATTAAAAGAGAAAACTGTTCAGTGTATCTACACCTTTCCACAAACTCTCACATCCATACATTCTTGGGACTATTTATCCTGACGGATTTCCCCTGTTCAGGTATTGCATGTCCAGGTGAGTAAACTCACATTTTGTCAAGAACTCACATCTGGACTCTGGTCCATGTCCAAAGACACATGTAATTCCACTTATTGAAAGTGGGACATTTAAGAAAGGAGAAAAAAAATAAAATTAAATTAAAAATGAAAAAAGAATGGAAGAAAAAGAAAAATGTTGGTGGGGGGAGACAATGAAGTGATATTTACTATTTTCTCGTTTTATTTAACCCACCTCTTCATATTGCTGGTTGTAATACTATTTCTCCTACCCTGGATTAAAATCTACTGAGGAAAAATTTCAGCAATCAAGCAATACAATATATTGTATGATATTAAAAATGGATTAAGTGTAATATTGACCATATACAGAGTGATATTTATGTATAATAAACAACACATAGGCTTATTATAGGATACCTTCATAGGCCACTCAATGAGGATTATTAAACTAATCACAAATTTATTAGCTGTTATGCTATAGGATTCACTCATGCTATTTAATATCTATGCTTTTAACTATTTTTTTTTAAATTTTCATAGAGAAAATAAAAAGATCATAATCTTACTCAAAAGTAACCCACCATATTTCACAAATCTAATGTCATTTCTAATTATTAAAATGGCAAAAAAAATAATCATATACTCTTTAAGAAATCTCCTAAATTTATTTTTACTGTAATATTTGAGGTATTTATTACTGCTAGTTGCAATTTTAATCAATTAAGAGCCATTTTTTTTCTCTATACAAGTGTTTTGTTTTTTGCATTAAAGTCAATTCTATAAAATAAAATAAATAAAAAAGTTAGGGTATATGAATAATTCCCTTGAGAAAAAAAATATTCAAATGAATACAGAATAAAGCCAGCAAAACATAGCAAATCTCGATTGATATTTAGTGATTCTGTCGTTCTATTTCATGGTAAAAGTAGAACTCTTTTCTTAGAGTTATCTCCCGTAAAAGTAACAATAAGAAATTTATTGAATACCCAGGTTTTAGATAAAAGTAAATTCGGTAATGTTTAACCTTCATGCCCGGAAAAAAAAAAAAAAAATCTGTCAAAAGGGCAGTTAATTCCCTTTACACTACTATTGCTGCACTTTTGACTCTCGGCAACATTTATTTACAAAATTATAAAAATATGTGAACCAAGTACAATGTGATAATTATTATTTACCTTTTATAAAGGTTTATTATAAACCATTTTATAAAGAGATAAATTTGAAGTATTTTATTCAAAAATTTATTTTAAAAATTACAAAATTATCAAAAATATTTAAACCAATTACAATGCAATATTTATTATTTTATCATTTTATAAATAACTATGAAAACTATTTTAGTGTATTTATATGGTAAACGCAAATGAAAGAAATGCTCGGAAAATGCATTTTTTTCAAAATTCATAATTACAGTAATTTGTAGTTATAGATTTATTTAAATTTTCTCATTTACAAATATTTTTATAAATTTTTTAATAAAAGTTTTTTGTCTTTTTTTTCATATTTATTTTTTATAAAATGGTAAATAATATTTCATTATAGTGGGTCATATATTTTTTATAATCTTGTAAATATAAAATTATTCATGTAAATAAGCAATCTAATACATAGTGTTTAATATCTTTATCAATTCTCAAGAATAAAGAAAAAAATTTATAAATCTACTTTGATATATTTGAGCTTTATTAAAATCCTAATCATCGCATTTTAAAATGATAAACATTGCAGAGGGAGTGAAGGGAGTTTACAGTAATAATGATGTCAAGGAAATAATCCTTTTGACACACTGTTGTTTTCTTTTTTCTTTTTTTCACAGGCATGAAGATTAAACATCACTATAATTCCTTTTCCTGATCAAGCAAAGTTACTATTTAATGAGTGGTTTCAGTTTATTAGAAATTAATTCATGCCACCACATATATTTAAAGTTAAAAAACACATTGGCACTTCCATATAAAAAAAAAAATTATTATTAAAATCAGTATTGGATTAATATAAAACAATTACTAAGAGAAATGAGCAATTTTCAGGTTTGTTTAAAATTAACAGCTGAAAAAGAGGTTTATTTTACACCTCAATGAAACTGTATATAGTTTTTGTTACACTTTATCCACAAGAGAGATTGTGTGAATGAATGGTATTTAGTGTATGTTTGGAAGTTAATAATTCATTAACTTCAAAAATAC